TGGAGAAGAGAAAATCTCTTACCCTTACCGGAGATCGAACCGCGGCCGTCCAGCCAGTAACCCGGCGCTATCCAGGCTCTCTTAGCAGTAACTGTTGTCTCAGTTGCTCGTAACACAGCCACACAGGCGGACTTGGCTTCAATGGAATGATTAATACGGATCGTTAATTGATGTGCTGTAGATTAATTGTACATGGTTACGTTGATAGGTTAGCTTAGGTGTTCGGCAGAATCGATCGTCTGACCCAGGTGAACATCGGGCTAAGTCGTCAGCGAGCACCAGTATTAATGACGATAATTATACAACATGTATTGACTCAGGTACGCGACTTAGAGGAAATATATAACACCACACTTGAAATAGATACGTGTTCAATTAGTATTTGTATGGTTGAATGACACAGTTACTTTGCCCACACACAATTATATCTCTCGTTGAGTCGGAATAGCTCAGTCAGTATAGCGATGGGCTAAAGGCTGGACGGCACAGAAATCGCGGTTCCAACACCAGTAAGAGTAAGAAATGTGTATCTACTTCACAGCGTCCAGACTGGCTCTGGGGCCCACACAGCCCCCCATCTAAAGGGTACAGGGTGATTTTCCCAGGGGTAAAGCTGTCCACCTATCTTCATGAAGTACCGGGATCAAGAATGCTGGAGCTAAACCCCCACTTCCCCATACGGCTTAACTTACATCACTGGTTACCCAGTTCATATTAGCTTCAGATGAATGTCACATTTCCTTTTGGGATATACTCAATTAAGGCTGAGGTTTATAGCCTGTCGTGTTGTGAATATGTTTGCTTGCAATGTATTTTAATCCTGAAGTCACACTTACACAGTTTGATGCATAATTTGGAATAACAAACGAACAAAAAACTCCGTGGCCTTTAGTCCGCCGCTTTTCGGCGGAGTTAGTGCCAACTTTAGCCAATAGAGAGTGTCACGTGGTCAGCGCAACGGATTTCCACAGCCTTTAATCTTGGTTTTCTAGGCCGGAGCCGCTACTTCCTTGAAATAGCTCCTCCATTATCCACACGAGGCTGAGTGGACCCCGTTCTAGACCCGGACCTCAGGATCTGTAGCCAGGAACTCTGATACTAGACGGCAGAGGTGGTCAATTTGGAATAACACTATCTGCATTAGAAACCAAAGTTCGAATTTAAATGTATGAATTGCATGCCGATGTTACATGTGAGATTACCAATCATCAAACGAAATCTATTTTTACATATAGCTGAGCGACTCGCCATAGTTTGAATTTGATTCAGACTCTCTGGTTGGCTAATCGGATTGTCAAATGACATGAGTAGTCGCTCAGGTAGAAGGAATAATTTGAATGTCATTGGCCGGTCGAAAAAGAATTTTGATTCTGACGCTAAAATGGTCTCCGGTATGTGTAAACACTAAAAGTGAGCGATGTGTAAATTTAATACACCAATCCGGGAATTTACGACCCATTAGAGCCTTCAGAAGCGCGAACTTATGCGCCCTCACACCGGAAGTCAGAATAACTTCTCGGGACCGTGACCACGTTGCCAGCAAACACATAAAATTGATGTTACAAGACGCTTCGAACTCACTGGAACGATAGTCACATGCTCTCGCCCTGAAACCTCTATCCAGGATGTAACCGAAAGGTACTGACAAATTTTGTTCATGAGTTGCACATACAAAAGTAAGAACAAATGTCCATATCAGCAGTTAGCTATATCCCTCTAACAGGCTGTGGAGGTCAATAGGGTTGTGAGACGTCGAGGCCTCCACATTTTCTAGACAATCGGCTCACAGAGGGCGGTGAGGTTGTCAGATTTACGCGCTGGACGTCCTTTATCCCCCAGGAAGATTCCTGGTTCTCATTTCTGTTAGAGGCCGAGGCGACTCCAGGGCCATAATGCGGCTGGAAGGATTAGGTAAATTTAAAAAAATCCACCTATCGGGACTCGAACCCGCGACTTTCCAACTTGTAACATAATGCCTCGACCAACTTCACTACCACTTTGACCAAAACATGTCTGGAAATAATTAATTTGTAAGTTATAGCAGAAAGAGTACATTTATAATAATTGCTTAAAATGTTCCCCATGAGATTCAGTGCTCGCTTCAACACGTCATATCCGTTCAGAGGTGCCGGGGGAGTTGCGAATACCACCCACAGTGCCATGAAATGCCCTTCGTTATCAACAGGAGCTGCATACAGGTGCCCCACAGCTAAAAATCCAGAGGAGTCGAATCTCGCCATGCAGTAGGTCCTCCTCTACCTGTCCATCGGCCATGAGAGGTGTTAGAGAGAGTATCTTGCACAGCACTGCTAAAATGTGGCGGACCACCATTATGCATGCACAGTATTCTTTCAACTAGAGCAGTTAATTTGCTTAGTGGGGTGTGGATTCCAACTGGGTCCACTCGGCACGGCGGCCACTGATTGGCCTATTGTAACCTGCCACGAGTGATTATGATGTTTGAGAATTTGGTGGAATGAAGATTGGCAGGGGAAACCGAAGTACTCGGAGAAAACCTGCCCCAGCGCCACTTTGTCCACCACAAATCCCACTTGACCAGACCCCCCGAAGCCAGCAACTAACCGCTTGAGCTATGACGCGGCTTACTAGCTCAAGCGGTTAGTCGCTGGCTTCCCACCGCGGCGGCCCGGGTTCGATCCCGGGTCTGGTCAAGTGGGATTTGTGGTGGACAAAGTGGCGCTGGGGCAGGTTTTCTCCGAGTACTTCGGTTTCCCCTGCCAATCTTCATTCCACCAATTGCTCCACAATCACACTCACCTATCATCTGGGGCTGGTACAATAGGCCAGAAGTGGCCGCAGTACAAGGGACTTAGTTCTACCTCACTAGCATTAAAAAAATCCGTCTGAGCTATGGCGCGGCCCAAAAATTGTCTCGTACCCCCGGCGGGACTCGAACCCGCAATCCCCGGTTTAGGAGACCGATGCCTTATCCATTAGGCCACGGGGGTTCAACTACAACAAACAGATTACACGTTTTCGGACACATGTTATGGATTTTGTTTTGTTTTTGGTTTGGTATATTGAACTCGTGTCCAAAGTTTGTCCGCACACTTCCGTTACACTGTGTATTTATGTAGCGCCCCGAGTTTAGAATATGATATGAAAGTAACTAACAAACTACTATTTTAGGACGTGGAACAGTATACCCAAGAAGACTGCAGAGAGAAGGAACCCGGTTCCATACCTCTCTTGTCCGCAAATAAAAACGATACGTTCTCACAAATTTCTCAACTTCAAAATACTGTTAGACTTGAAAGGATTCTGACGATGGTGTATACTGTACTTCTTTCGGCTTATTTTGGACTTCACCCAACGTCCGGTATATAAAAAAGACAAAAAACCACAACGTTTCGGAGACTGGATCTGTCTCCGTCTTCAGGTGTATAGGGAAGGTTTAACCTACTCAGTTGGGCCCCTTAGAAAGAGCTAGTCTCAATCACTGGACCTAGTGGTTTTTTGTCTTTTTTATATACCGGACGATGGGTGAAGTCCAAAATAAGCCAAAAGAAGTTCAAAATACTGTGTTCTTTTTTGTATGAAATGTGGCTTCATTTTTTATTTAGCGACCTCGTAATATCCGAATAAGTTTCGTGACACGCACTGTTTCGTGATAGGAGACTCTGATTTTGCCACGAAATTAATGAACGCAATGCACATTTCCTTTCATTATTTCTCTGTAGTCTCATTATGTGGACCATTAATAATAATAGTAGAGCAGGTGCTTATTTTCGTGGCGAATTTAGAATCTAACCGTGAAATACGGCTTTATGAAAATGGGGAGGTGTACCCTAGTAATATCCTTTCTCAGATTTTCTGTAAGCGGTTTTGNAAGTTCCCGCTGAAGAAAAAAGAACCAAACGGAAATCATGTCTTTTATCATAAAAAGTAGTAAAGGTGCAGACACTGAACTTACGTGTATTAACTTTGCCAGTGTTTACTGAGATGTCCTGAAAGTTTACACGTTTATTACGAAAGTTACTCTAAAAATAAATGTCACATTATATTCTAAAACTTTTAGGAAGGGAATCGTCCTTAATCACAGGTCTGTAAGCTTGGTTTAAGGAAACATTCAGCACAAAGCAGATAACCGAAACGTACGTAGACCCTGGATAGAACAGCCAGGATTGTATTCGGAAAGGATGCGGTCGCAGTTTCGGCCCGTATTTGGCTTAGCCTGTTTCTGTGCCAATTCCTCGGTCACTGTTTGGAACTTGCGTGTTTTTTTTTACTGTACGCGTCTACGAGTTACTGTTCGTGTGCTTGTAGCATGCTACTATTTGAGACTCTGCTAATGATTGCATCTTCTATGCTAATACTTCGCTACTATTTGAGACCCGGTCAGTATTTACAGTTTCTGTGCTAGTACTCGACTACTATTTGAGACCCAGTCAGTATTTACAGTTTGTATGCTAGTACTTGACTACTATTTGAGACCCAGTCAGTATTTACAGTTTTTATGCTAGTACTTGATTACTATTTGAGACCCAGTCAGTATTTACAGTTTCTGTGCTAGTACTTGACTACTATTTGAGACCCAGTCAGTATTTACAGTTTCTGTGCTAGTACTTGACTACCATTTGAGACTCAGTCAGTATTTACAGTTTCTGTGCTAGTACCTGACTACTACGAGTATTTGAGACTCAGTCAGTATTTACAGTTTCTGTGCTAATATTTCCCTATTATTTGAGACCCAATAAGTATTTACAGTTTCTGTGTTAGTTCCTGGCTACACCTCAAGCCTAGACCGCCATTACTATAGCTTCGGTGTTTAGTGGAAAGTAACAGTAAAATGGCTTTACGTAATGGTGCCGTGTAGGTACACTTTGCTTCTACGTACGCTCTCTACGTGAGGGCGTATTACGTATTAACCGCTAGACAGTGCAGCCACGCTGCGTGGGCCGAACATAGTTATACTTATTGTCCGCGATCGAAGCTATCAGCGGCTTTTGCGAGTGATACACAGTATATAGCAGATAAGCCGTTCGAACTTGGAAGTTGATGTCATTATCGCGTTACATGGCTGGTTGTGAGGGACGGAAAGTACGTCGGCAAGTGGTAGTCAGACGTGACGGGAATGTGAAACAGGTGTTACCGGCAGTGGCTGCTTAGAAGTATATTCTGCTCGATTTATGTTAAGTAAATGTTTGATGGCATGATGCCTGTTACACGGAATATGCAATTAATGGCATATCATAATCGTATCGGTGTTCTTCGCAGTAATATCGCGGGGAAACTCTGTGAACGGTGTGAAATATTAACAAACAAAACAGATGCGTGTTCATAAAGTGCGTGAAAAGTGATGCTGAAGGAACTGTGTGTTTTTGTAAGAGGTGTTTCAGACATAAGCTGTGTGCTTGTTATTCCAATGAGGAGGTAAATTTATCGGTGTTCTCTGCAGGTATCTTGATTGCGTTTGTACTTAGGATGACGTTCTTTTTCCGCGCTGTATTTAGTTGAGTGAAACAATACTATACATTCCAACAGTTTCTACTTTGCCTCTGTAGTTCTTAAATTAGATCTGTTATTTAATGACAGTTATCGTTCAGTTCAGTAATGACTGAGAATATGAATAAAAATTATATAATTTTTTGTATGTCACAGCTTTGTATTTTGGGAGTCACAATTTGGTTCTTAACTGTGTGATGCTGAAGAGCATAAAGTTTGTTTTTGTTCTATTTCCTGCCCTCCAGTGCCATTTAGAATTAATAATACAAATTCCACCGTCAACGAAACTATAATTTATTGACTTACGTTCCAAAACATGTTTCGATCCTTACAGGGTCATCCTCAGGTGTTTTTTGATTTAGAAATTTTCATTATTGAATTGTAAAGCTTGTATTTAAATTTTACATACAAAGACTACCTTCTATGTACATTTATATTCTGGCATCTAGATGTTGATTTACGTACAAGATATATATGGAACTGAATTTTAAGATTAAAAGTTGATTTCAAATTAATTTGAAAGTGTCGAATGATGTATTCGGCTCCGTGTCTGTTGCTGTAGTAGGCCATGCATCATTTCATCTGATTCTTCTATTATTGGTTAGATTCGTTTGTGTTAACCGTTTCTTGAGCACGAATTTATCTTGTTTCTTATTACCAGAATGTCGAGTGCTGTTTTTTTGTCTAATATATGTGGTATGCTCTGCTGCGTGGTCAATACACATAGGAGATGCCTTCCGTCGAAACGTATTTTCTGTTTCCTAGAATACCGGATGATGGAAAAAGTCCAAAAACCCAGTAATCCTGTGTATTGTACATAGTGTTCAATTGTCGTGACCTATTTGAAGGCACTATTATGGTATTCTGCTGGAGAAACTGGGGAAGGCACAGAAACCTGAGGTTTGCTCTATAGGTGTGTGGCCTTGTACATAATATCTCCCAACCATTTCACATGTATACCGCTAAAATTAGTCTCAGTGACAGGTTGTTGTGAAGCTTCCAAATTCCGTGGCATGCCCTTCTTTGTGGCACCATAAGGGAGCCATCTTTGGAGAACTCTTAAAACTAAATATTTGTGAATTTATAGACGCGAATTTGAAATTTTTCGTAGCGGAGCCATCTGTGGAAACTATCAGAATTGACTGTGGAATCTACTATTTTTAAGGTTTGCATCCTGTTGCGTGTATACATTCAACATATACAAATTCTACTGTCAATGCAACAATTGTTTATTAACATATATAGCACTACATATTTCGACCATAACGGGCCATCCTCAGGTGTTGCAAGTAGTATAAACCAGACATGTGCAGGGGTAGAGCCTTAAATTAGGGCACAACCGTTTTCTTTCACACCATTTCCAACTCAGTATTCATTAATACAGCCACAAAGCCTTCGCCGAATGATCCGAGGTATTGATAACGTCGCAAAATAAATGATAAATAGATAAATAAACGCGTTAAATTCGACTGCTGCTCATTGTTTCCTTGTTATTATACTCGTATGCGTTTTCCTTATAGGAAGCAAAATTGTAAAAGTTTGTGTATGGTGAAAGGGGGGGGGGAGGGCGCGCACGCGCATGCACAAGAAAAATGTGCATGTGAGAACGACATAAGTCAGATCAAGTAGATGAGTTTTAAATTTAATTCTGCAGCGAAATGCACGCCAGGTCGATCAAAGATGAAAACTATGCTCTGTGCTGTAGAAACACTACAAGGCATAATACGATTTTCTGGTTTGGGTGATGGCACGATAAACAGGTTTCCTACATGAACAATGTAGCTCCATTTGTAGCGTACTTTCGTTAACTTTACAAGTGACTCGCACACGTGTGCCTCTGTCTCTTAATAACTACATTTATAATTTGACGGATTTTCATAAAACTTGGTATGAATATCATTCCACTAGAAGCCATACCAACCTATACTATACGTTTACCATTCTTTCCTTAAGGAGAGAAAGCAAGTCCTTGAGACCGCCATGCTGTCTGCCTGTATCTACACCCCCCTCATTCAAGGTACGAGTATGAACAAGCTGATCACATTTTACGACATTTAGTGTGGACCTTATGCCATCACAGGTCGCCACAACCTCCTTTACCCTGAGACTAAGATTACAGTCTTAAGCGGCCTCCGTAGTCTAGGGGTAACGTTCCCACCTCATGACTCAAGGTACGCGGGTGCAAACCCGGCGGGAACAAGTCCTCCGGGAGGGACTTTAAGCCGTGGGTCCCGTGTCGTAGATTTACGGCACATAAAAGATCCTCATGTCTCTAGGAGACCTCTGAGCAAAATTAGGCAAAAAGTTTCCCGCCCAAGTAGTTTCCAATGCCTCTGGTAGACGGGGGAAATATCAGGTACCGAGGGCTGACCTCGTTGGCTGAACGGGGCTGATAGCACGCACCAGTACCGGTAGGGTATGGCGACTGGTAGAATATCAAAGGGGGACGTACAATAGACTATTGGTCGCGGTGCATGGGGAAACCCACCCCCTCCAATAATAATAATAATAATAATAATAATAATAATAATACAGTTTTCTGACAAATGACGCCGTGTAGTCTGATAGGTACGACCTTTCGAGAAGAATCTGGTGCCTCCATCCTCAGAATTCCAGAAATGGGCAATAAGAAAGTAGCAGACGCTCGTACTTGTAAGGTGGGGGGGGGGTGTTGGGGTTGTTGGTTCTGAAATGATATGTGGTAACTGAACTTTAGCAAACGCAGCGTTTGTTAAGGCATCCATTTTTTGTAAAATATAAAACAGCAAGATGACGCTAGCATTAAATTAATCTGAAGCGTTCGGTTAGGTAGCGATAACTAATGACTGTGAAATCTGATAGAGAATTGTCATAAATACACCTTAAAATTCAGTATGAAATTTGTCAGTCAACAATTACATGCTTGACGACCTCGACAAATTTCGAAATTATGCCCAACGTCTGAACTTAAATTAAAAGTTTTTTATTTAACGCACATCAACTTTTATTTGAGTGATTGTCAACAGAAAAAACTGTAACAAGCGAACACCGAATGTACTGTGAAAACCAAAAAGTAAACTAGATGAAAAGCTAAGACGAATCAATTATCACGCGCTAATATTAATAAACTAAAGAGGATCAAAAAAGGAAAATGAGGGCCGACAGCAATAACGTTTCTACTAAGAATTTCAGAAATTGGCGGCTGTGAAATACTTAGCTGAAGGACTAAGCCTGAAGCATTGCTTACATTAAGATGGGAAGGTTCCCTGTTTGCTTAGTGAGTACATGGAGACCTACAGTAGGCCTGCCCTTAATAGAACACAGTTATTATTGCTGCTGATGATAATTCGGTTCAGTACCTTCGAAATTTACGTGCTTACTCCACAGCCTACAGGTGAAAAAAAGGTAAAACTACCCTTGTAACAGGCCGCGAAAGCCCATAGGGTTGTGAGACTTTGAGGCTCCCACTTTCTTTCGTACAATCGGCTCGCAGATGGCGGTAAGGTTGTGAGCCTTACGCGTCGACCATCCTTTACTCCTCAGGAAAATTCCTTGTTCTCATTTCTGTTAAGAGTCTGAGTCGACCCCAGGGCCATAGTGCAGCTGGAAGGATTAGGTCAATTGAAAAGTCCAGTGACCTCATCGGGACTGGAACCCGCGAGCTTCCGGCTTGTAGCAAAGTGCCTCAACCAACTACGCAATGCTGCTGCTGTTGAGTTAATTTGGTGGTTGGATTATAATTTGCTTTACCTAAGTAAAACATTAACAGCAATATATTTGCGGGTCTTGAAGCCTGCAGCAGGAAAGTACGCAACTCACCTCCAGGCATGGAGACCACGCGAACTTTCTGCGATGTTATGATCACGGAATGCAGGGTCTTCGGTAATTTTATAGCGTAATGCATTAATAGGTTTGTAGCAGCGACACGAAATTATATTTAGCTTTCGGCTTGACGGCGGTGTACACATATGCACGAGCTACCATATATTTACACATTTTTGTCTACATTATAGCAAATTAAATGTTCTAGCCATACAAATATCAAGCACTGTAGTAAAAGTAAGTTGTTAAAATTAAATATCTTTGTATTTAAAAGTTACGCACATGACCAGAATTTATTACTTCAAATTCAAAATTCTTATGTCTTATATTCTCTTTTTAATTTGTAATTTTATCAGAGGTATGTAAGTCGGAAATTCTTCCGATCTGTAGAATATCTAAGTTCTTGGGAAACAATGTGGCAACTGTCCTTAACGTTGACTTGCATTCAGATGTTTCCATTTGATTTTATATTAAGAATAAATTTTTTCTGATGTAATCTGATACTATCGAATAAGTGTAGACTTTTTAGCGACCATTTTGTGCTCCCGAAAATACTGTTATGCTCAAGACCCTCGTACACGCAGAAGCATACGTAGATTTGGGTCATCCTTTTAAAGTTTCCGTTATTGTCGTTCCGCGTTAACAAAAATTGAAGCAGGAAGAATGCCGTATTCTAGGATGTGGCGCCGTGTAGACATTGTGTATACCGACGTTTCGGAGAAACATCTCATTCTTGAGGGTATAAAAAATACGCGAGCGATGAACCAGCGTGAGTAGATACCTTCCTCCGAAACGTCGGTTTACACTCTCTACACGGTGCCACATTCCCGAAGACGGCATTCTTCATAGTCACCCCCGTGAAAACCCCACGTCATACAAAAATTGAAACATGTTCACCAATTTGAATGAAATTGTCTGATACCAAATTTAATTAAAATCCTTCTGTCGGTTCCTGGATAGCTACATGCGTACAAACGGTCATGTAGATATGACGAATCTAGTATTCGCATTTTTGCAACTTTCTGTTTAGAACTCACCGAGAATTCCGAAATTATGAGGATGACGGTCACTCACATTAGGACGGAAATGAAGCTAAGCACGGAAACATGGTGTAAGTTATTACAAGATATATGTCTCAAGCCGTAGACAATGTCCGACGTAATAAACCAGCAACCGTTGTCATTCATCAGAGAACCGGTTTTGCGCAAGTAGTGTTTGAAGGTGAAAGAAAGAAAAAAAAAAAAGGAATGGAAAAGAACAGGCCTACATTCGCTTCGGTCACGTGTCAACCATTTAGGTTAATCATTGGAGATTATAGGCTGAATGCATGCATTTTGAAGGCACGTTATTCATTAGGTGTTGCTACTGTAAAGGTTAGATTGTAGGCTGTAGAAATTGTTGGAGATAATTGTGTGGTTACGTCATAGTTCACTAACTACGTCATAAGCCGGCCTGGAATTGTGGCATCAATGTGAAACATGAAATATTACAGGCCGACATGTGTTGTAATCTGCCTGTGAGTGTTTCTGATTCTAAGAGGATTCGGCTTGCGGAGTTATCTCCAACTGGAAGATAGACAGGCAGACCAGTGCTACAACAGTCCACATGGAATAAATCCAGGCGCTTCGCCTTATTATGTGGAAACAGAATAAGGTTTACCGTGTAACCCCAAGCAGAAAAAAGGTAATTATTGTCCACAGTAAAAAATAGGTGTATATTTTAGCTAAGACTTCCCAGTAGCCATCACAAATCCTGAAGAATACTTTCTTCTGGGATATAAGGCCGTATGCTCCGTTGAATGTCAACCGACCTCTCTCTTCATAACTACTGCTATAAGAACCTTAAATCCTACAGCATTAATCCTATTTTACTATTACACATGTCTATAGCCTCACATATCTAGTGTTGTTATTATAATTGCTATCTTGTTCTATTTTATTTTTCTGAAAAATTGCTGCTAGAAAGCGTCGGCGAAAATTTCGACAAAATTTCGTGAGGAAAGAGTTCCAAACAGACAATGAAATTCGCGATTCGGTAAATGAACTTAGATCAACTTGTCTTAACAGACAAGAAACAAAACATAAGAGCCAAGTGCATACTAAGGAAAAGTTAGATGACATAGGAGCCAGGTTTGGACATAAACCTAGAAAATCACTGAAACGTCTAGCAAAACACTGAAGTGTCAAAATTTAGTGCAGGAATGGGAACACAGTTGCTGAAGCTTAGACCCTATAAAACAACAGCAATCCATGTACGCCTTGCAGCCGAGCGATCCAGCTGGCAGGGTTCGTTTTTGCAGTTGGTTTCTACAGTCTGTCGTCGAAGGTGAGATCGATCCGCAATTGACATTCTTTTCTAATTAAGCGTGGTTTCACTAGCAGGGATGCATAAATACGCAAAATAATCGCCATTGGAATTTACAGAATCCACAACTAACCCACGAAGTTCCGCTCCATTCAGTGAAGGTTGGTGTTTAGTGTGCTGAAAGTGTAAGAAGGGATGTTGTACCTGTGTTCTTTTAATGAAACAATTAATTGCGTGTAGAGGGACAGCATTTTCAACACTTCCTATGATCTGTGAGTGGTAACTTCTTCATTTCGAGCGTTATCTGCCAACAGGCATATTGATTCATCAATAAAATTCGTATGCCCCCCACAGCTTCACTCTTTCACCACACACGAACGCTGCACACCGCTCCCATGCTCACTATCAGACTGAACTCAAATTCACAACTCACGGAGTCCAGGAAAATTTTATAAAAGCCTAGTCATTCTGGTTGCTCCTGGCCGGCAGCATGGGATGCGCTGTTCAAGAACCGTCTTGAAGCCGACGGAAGGGGGTTAAGTCGAGAAGTATTCCTCTCTAATCTCGGGTCACGCGGCAATACAATCACCACATTTTTATACAAGACACTGAGGAAAGGTTACAGCGCTCAGTTCGTAGTCTAGACAATGTGGATGACCGGTGAAATGTGACAATTTCAGCACGACAAAAGGAGTTATGCTTTTAAAGATAAGTGTCAATTTAGAACTAAAGTAGCTATTGATAGAATTTTAGAACAAATATCTCATTTCATTTTTTAGCAAGTGACAGCACGTTGGACAAATATTTATGTAACAAAGTCAATAAGTATGACAACAGTAGAACGATAAGAAGAATCCTGAAGACCTACACAAGAAGAGAAACGCAATTTAAATTTTATGACATTGGGGAACACTGCATGCTTTGCTATATGGAATTGAATTTTGGACAGTTAAAACAAGACACATGAATAGGATACACTCAATACGGATAAGCTACTTAAGATAATTTTCGTTTCATGCATCCTATTGTGTTACAGTATACAACTTTTTTATTAACCGTCACAACACAACTAATATCAAGATCAGTGCCTAGCTACGGCTTTGCTACATGTTTCGGCTATCAATAGCCATCATCAGGCAAATACACGTTAACATATATACACCCCTGGATTGCAGTACTATTAAACTGGATACAATACTATTAATCATATAAAACACTTGACGTAAAAAATACAATAAATCAGATTATATAAAACAGAAGTTATAGTATAAAACAAGAATAAAATTTTAAATTGATCTTTTTTATATCATCGAATCAGTCATTGGTTTTGTAATTTCGTTGCGTTCCCACGGACAAATTGGAATATTCTATATTTTTTCTTTTTGTATATAAGATTGTATAGGAGGCTCGTGATGTAGATGTAGTAAATTAATGTTAACTGTTTAGTCAGTGCCTCATCTTGCAAAGTATTGTCCGTTCTGTAGGGAATGTAAACAACGACTCTAGCTAAGCACTGGTCTTGATATTTGTTGTGTTGTGATGGTTAATAAAGAAGTTGTATGCTTAAGGTAAATTAGAGGTTATAGTAGAGTAGACTTTATTAAGAGGGAAGATGTTAGGGTAAAGATAAGGTAAAGTTGTCCCTGTGCTCAACGAATTAAGCACTACAACATGAAGGCATATGGGGGAGTGGATGTATGGATCCACATTTTCTTGACTTCGGCAGTAGCTGGAGGTGAGTGGTCAGCTTTACGCCCCTGCCGCTTTACCCCCGGAGAAAGAGCCCCCGGTACCCATTGGATAGGACGTTGAACCCCAGAGCCGCTCTGGACTACTTGGAGAAGAGAAAATTCTTGACCCTACCGAGACTCGAACTCCGACCCCTCTGTCGTCCAGCCCGTAGCCAGTAGTTATAACGACTACGCTGCCCCGGATCCAGGAGGATGTTAGGGAAGAACTGAAAATACCATTAACGCAAAATAAATAAAATGAGTGTAGACATACCTGGATAAGCCATTGCTATGGATTGAATGATGAAAAGATGCCGAAATACGTTCTGCAGTGTAAAGTAAATGGACGCTGATACGGAGGAAGATTTCGGAAAGGATGGACTGAATATGCGAAGTTGGGACAGGACTCGTTGCCTGTGCCATGAAGTGAAGGAGAAGAATTTTTAATAGTACCCTTTTAACAGGTCATCGGTTCATTACAAAGCGTAACACAACAAAAACTAAGGAAAGTATGTACCCACCATAGAGAAATTTGTACCCAGATCCCAGAGTTTGAGGTGTTCAATATCATATGCTCCTTTGACCGCGCAGCCTAGGTAATTTTCCTATATATACATTGTGAATGTGTCTCGCCCATTGGGTCTTATCAGTTACTCGCCAGTTTGTCCGTCCGTCTGTCTATTGTGATTTCACACAACTTGGCGTGAAATCGATTTTGTTATCTCTGTGTCTGTAACTCGTACACGGTAAGTAGGTCGCTTTCATGACGGGATTGTGCCTCCTTGCGGGAGAAAAGACGGCATCTACATGCAGGGTAAAGTGTAAAGGTAAAGTTGTCTCTGTAACAGGCCATGGATGCCCATAGGGTTGCGCGATGTTGAGGGTCCCACATTTTCTAGACAGTGGGCTCACAAATGGCGGTAAGGTTGTCAGCCTTACACGGCGGCCGCCCTTTACACCCCACCCCCCGAAGAAGATTCCTGGTACTCTTTTCTGTTAGAGGCTGAGTCGACCCCAGGGCCATAGTGCGGCTCATTTATTTAAGCGATTTTGTATGCATTGTCTGTAAAATGCTGCGGAAATTTGCGTATGTCACTAATCAGTTAAGCTTGCAAAGCTGAAATGAGATGTCTCGTAGTCCAGCCGAAATCGCAGGCGTTCAGCAAGCATTTTGTCTGAAATTAAGAAATCGTTAACTTCGCAAAGCTCTTCTTGCTGTCTGCTTCATAGAGATTTCTTGCTTGACTTATTCTTCGACCCTGAATATGGAGTCTACATGTTCCTTCGAAACGTTTGTAAGTTTTCATCGTACTACTCGTACATGGCGTTATATCCCAGAAGATGGAACTCTTTAATCATATTATTACTTTCTCACTGAAAGGAAATCTGTATTTCGTGGTTTTCCACACTCCCTCCTAAAAGATGCTGGAATAGTACCTTGATAAGGCTACAACCACTTCCTTACAGATCCTTTCCAATTTATCATTCATCAGTCAGTCTGCCTATCCACAAAAACTGAACAAGATATATGATTCATATTGCAGCATGACAGCAACAAAGCTCAGCTCAGAATGAAAGTTTGCGTAAACTCATTCTTAACGCTTTTAAGCAGGTGCCGTACCTAACATTCATCTTATTTTAAAGTTGTTGCGAAACCATTTTAAAATTCCGTGTTCACAGAAAACTAATAACGGCCTCTTCCACACACCGGTTTCTGCAGCAAGGGAATGGTTATTGATCAAGGCAAACAACAGAGTACTCCGATCCACAAGAGTCAAAAGGAAAATAAAAAGGAAGAGACGTTATACGCACTAAATCACAAAGAATTCCATAACAAAACACAAACCCATAGCTTACAACGATCAAACATCAAACGTAAAAAAGCAAAATCTACGTAGACAGTACAAAAGAAAGAACAACACACACATACAGTAGAACTTGGTTATAACGTCATAAAAGGGACCTAAAAATAGTGTCGTTATAAACGAGTGTCGTTGTAACCGAAATGGGCACTTCCACAGTAGCCTTATGTTAGTCACGAAAAATCTACCAAAAACCGAGTTAAAATGTTGCATTTTTTAGTGAAATACGTAGTTAAGTACAGACTAACGTAACATTAACATGGAATTGCCCAAATGTGTAATATCAAAGACATATTACAGCGCTTTTCACTGACAATACACACCGCACTAATACTGTATATTAAAGGTAGGCCTACTCACCAAATTACAGTAGATTACATCAATTGTTGTGCCTTACTGTACCTAGATACGAGTACAGTAATCAGTTATCTTCATCTGTTTCCTGTTACTTGCCCAGTACACACTTTCTAAATTACGTTCAATGTCCATATCAGAGAAATTCAGGAATGAAAATGACGTTACATACGAGGTTGATGCATTTGTGCATGTCGTACTAAGCAAGGTATAAAATCAGTTGCTTTATGAGGAATTAGTTCGTACCATTGAATATTTGACGCAATAGACAAGGTGTCGCAGAAACCGATGTTGCTATAACCAAGTTTTACTGTATATAAATAAAACGCCGGTATGTACGTAATACAACTGGCTGTAGCTTCAGAGAATTTCTTGACATGCGTTTTACTGGGAGCTGGGTTTGTCGTGATCATCGTGATGGACTAGTTCCGTG